GCCCCGCCTGGCCTTGCTGGGAGCGGCCTCGGGCCCTGGCCTTGGCTGCCCTGCTGGGGCCTCCCCGCGGCTGGTGAGACCCAACCAGGCTGGACGGCTGCCGGTGGAGCGCCGCGGGCCCCGAACCCGGTCGCCCCAGCTCTGCCAGGGAGGAGGGCGCGGGGCTCCGCCTGGCCCCCGGTGTGCGGCCCGCGCGGGGACTTCCTGTCTGCCAGGCCGGGCCTCGCAGGCTAAGTGGCTTCTCCTTACCAACCCCCGGCGGTGGAACCTGTCCCACGGCTCCCCGCGGAGGCCGTGTGTCCGAAAAGGCCCCGGCCAGGCTGGGCGCCCAGGGGACCGGGCAGCCCTGGCCGGGCGCCGAGGTCGGGGGTCTGCGGGACTTCACCCCAGATCGCCTCCCCAGCCCTGGGCCCGCACCCGCCGGGCGCACGCGCTGGGCCCCAAGGCCGCGCGCGGTCCCTAAGGCCGGCGCTCCCCCAGGCCCCGCGCTCCCGGACCTGCCCGAGCAGTTCTGCCCTCCGGACGCGGCGCCCCCCATTCTGCTGAAGCTGGCGGAGGCCTTGGAGCGGACAGGTGAGCGGCCGGCCGGCGGGGCCGGGGCGGGGGCCCCCGGCCGGCCTGGGCGTGGGGCCTGACTCGGCCTGGCGGTGCCCGTTCCAGAGCTGGACTGCGAAGCCTACTGCCGGCCCGAGCCGCCGGCCCCCCGGACAGGTGAGGGGGCGGCCCGGGGGGCGGGCGCGGGCGGGCGCGGGCGGGCGGGCCCTGACCCTGCACCCACAGACTGGGCGCTGGCCGACCTGGAGCAGTGGGACGCGGCCGCGCTGTGCGACGCCGTCAAGGGCTTCCTGCTGGCCCTGCCCGCACCGCTGGTGACCCCGGTGGCGGCGGCCGAGGCGCACCGGGCCCTGAGGGGTGAGCCTGCGGGGGAGAAGGGCGGCGGGTTCCCGCCCGCCAGCCCGCCCTGCCTGAACCCCGGTCCTGAGGCCGCCCAGGCCGCGGGGCCCGTGTTTCCCGTTTATTTTACACCCACTCTTACCCTGCTCGCGCGTATTCCTGTCCTTCCCGTGACAGATCCTAATTCCTTTTGCCGTTGATAGATTAATACCCTTATAACCCGCTGTCAGCATCTCGCCCCGCCTTTTCGTATATGCTGTGGATTGCACCTATATATGCATGTATATATATATATATATGACTGTTGCTATTGAATTCTTCCTCTCTACAAGCTCAGATATAGTTTGATTGTTTCGGAGCTTAGCTTCTTTCACAGACTTTTCTCCATTCGGGATTGTAGAATTTATGATACTTCCGGATCTTCTATCGAATCTCTTCTGTTTATTTTGTCTACTTATAACATTTAGCTTCCTACGACTCCATGACATTGATTTCCCATCGTAGATTAATTTGGTATAC